TTTTATTGAATCAGCTGGTAAATGAACTGATTAATTTCCAATTAAACTTTTCGTCGTCTACTTCAACTCTATTTACTTTATTTTTAAAATTCATTTATTCACCGAATATATAATTAAAAACGTAGTTTATTTTTAACGTAAATCTGCGCACATATTGAGTGAAAAGAAAACGCGTAAAATAAAAACCGGAAACGCAGAGAAAAAAAACACAGACTAAAGAGTGCCGCGACAGTAATGGCTGCGTGCTTTCGGTCGACGTGTTCGGATGGAAACTTCCAAATTAAAACTTTCGAGAAAGTTAGATTAATTTATATATAAGACGCCCTCTCGCTGTGGAGCCGCGAGGAAAATCCGTCTTAAGACTGACGGCACAGTCTGCAGACTCGAGTGTTGCACATTCTTCCCGCTTCGGAATGTGGCCGTGCAAGGAAGAGTTTTTCCGGCGTCGGCGACGCGAATGAAAGATCTCATTCAAGATTCAGAAAGAGTTTATTAGCGCGGCTCATCCGAGACTCATAAAACGTAAAAAGCAAAAAGTTAAAAAACCTAAATTTTAGTAAATTATAATTATTTTTATGTTACAACGCTGATAAAACATGATTTAATGCTTTTATTAATTTATTTATATGATGTTTTGTTTTGTGCTTGTTTTGTTTGTGAGGTAGGATAGATAATTTCAAAAATTATGAGTTAATTTAGCCGCTAGCGTGTTGTTGCTCGCCGTGATGATTAAATATGAACCTTAAAGGCCCGACGCGGCCCGAAGTTATTTCCGGTTCGGCGTGGAAAATTTATGTAAAGCATTTTCCTCAATAATAAAAAGCAACACTCTGGGTCTTCCTCGACTTCTGGTCTAACCAGCTAGTGAATTTCACCGACTAACTGTTGGTAACTATACTGGTCTGGAGTTGGGCCGAAAGCGGAACCCGAAATGGTGATTTCGGCGCGCTCGCATGCATACACGCCGACCACCGACACGCCATGATAAATTTAACAACTTATTTCTGCCTCCGCACGCCGCCACTTCGTTTACCTGTATACCAATGCTTTCTGCTTGGTGATAATAAAACGATGTTTCATTACTGACTATGAGTGAAACTAATAAATTATCCACGTGTGTAATATTTTTGCGTTTAAATTGGGATTTTTTTGCTCCGGTTTAAATTTCTTAAGTTTTCGAGGCTTTTGTGTCGGTCATGCGGAAATTCCGCGCGATAAAGACATTAAAAGACGCTAAGGACATTCGTACGTGCGGGTGCGGCAAGAGGGAAATATTTATGTGCGAAAATTCCGGTCGGGAAAACTGGGAGACATTAAATTCTAGAGTTTTATGAGACGTCTTGTCCTTTCGGATGCTTCCGGTTAAAGTTTTGACAATTTCCAAAAATTTTACTACTTTAACCTGAATATTAAAGCGATAAAAAGAATATTTTCTTATTTTCCGTTAAATTTTATTTGCAGATATCATGATAATCATTGTTTAAAAATCTCTACAAGACATAAACCCAACGTTTATTGTTATCATCTTTCATTATCTGTATCGAATGAATGCCCTGTCTGAATATCTACTCAGTTGGAGGGTGGCGGTGTCGGTTGGCGGTGGTAACACGAACGCGGAAGAGGAAAAGTACGAACGCAGCACATTTATCGCCGCGGTGCGGTGCGGTGGCGAACGCAAGCCCAGCGCGAAACGAAAATGCGATTGCCGCACATGCACAACACACGAGAAACACATGGATTCGGGAGAGAGGGATGAAGGGGAGAGGATGGGGAAGCATAAGCGAATGACGTATAAATTGAATTCGATAACGTATGATCATCGTGAGGACGTGCATACGAATGTGGGAATATTGTTGAGGTTCATGTTGATGTTAAATTATTATCAAGGGGAAGGAAAGGGAGTAAATATGGAGATAAGGGTGTAGTTTTTGAAGAGTGACAGATTAGGTTATGAAGTTACAGAAGTAAAAATTTTGGAAAATATTAGGAAATTTAACGGTTTTTAGCGAAATATTGTCAGAAAGTGAGAAAAATAAAAAAATTGTAAAATAGGGAAAAATTTGTTATTTTTGAAAAATATAATGGGATTATGGCCAATTGGGTGCAGAAAATCGCTTTTATTGCTGAAGCAAAGCCAAAAACCCAATTATTCGAATGAAAGTACGAATTTTTGGAAAAAATATTATGAAACATTGCGATTTTAGCAAAATTCTGCAAAAATGTGCGAAAAATGCAACAACTATTGAGAAATAGGTAAAAAATATTGTAAAAAAAATATAAAGAATTAAGGCTGTTCGGAAGCTTAAAATCTTCAAAAAGTAATATAATAATGACAAAATCCTAATAATTTCACTGAAAAATTGTGTTTTTTGTAAAATATCGCAAAAAAATTTTAAAAATACAAAAAAATGAAGATTTCTAAAAAAATCGATAATTTTAAAATCTTAAAATTAAATTATGTCCTATTGAGTTCTGAAAATCTTCAAAAACACTCGAAAAATCCCAAAAAACATCAAAATTTTCCCAAATTTCAATTTTTTGACGAACTGTTTTTGCCCTTGTATCCCCTTGTTGCATGGCTGTGTGCAACTCAAAGCAAAAGAAGCAAAATCGGTATAATTTAATAAAGCGCTTAAGATACATGCCCCAACGCCACCGATGCGGCCACCACGGGCCGCCGCCGCCTCGTTGTGCATTCACCATGCGCGCGCCGCGCTCGCTCTTGTTGTTGTTGTTTTTCGCTTAACTAATTAAAACTTTTCACAAAGGGATTGCGCGATGCGCGCGCCAAGCTCGCCCAGCCCGAAGAAGGACGAGAGTTTATACATTGTGTCGGCACACTGGGACAGCGCGCGAAATGCGCGGAAACATTGAAAATATAAAGACATTAAAACATTGCAAACTTTGACAACAAACTTTCAACTCGCTTCGCAATCATTTTCGCATTGTTCGCAAAACAACACAAAAATTAACGCAAACTTTGCCAACACACAAAACAGAAACCAAATTAATTTTTAATTAATATGTTATTATTTATAACTTATATTATCAGTTCAAAGATAGTATTTTGTCTAAAATCAACTGAACAATGTGTATAGTGGAAAATGTATTTTCGGTATGTTGAACATCAAAGTTTTAAGGATGCAAATATGTAGCGATGCTCGAGGACGTGGAAGGATGGCATGAAATTGAAACTATGCCGGCGCAGACTTTAAACCTACACCCACACACACCCACACAGCACATACACATCGTTCTTCTTCGTAAGTTACGCCGGGATTCGTCGAACATTGTTTCAACTTTCGATTACACCATCAAAACCTTTAACTTTCACATTATAACTAAAATTATACGCTGCATTAATAATCTTGTAACATAGGCAACCCAACCTACACACATGCATGTTAAATTGCTTACTTTTATTGCGCTAAGATTAATATTTCTTTCGACGCTCCTTTTTTTGGATACTGTCGTCAAAATGAAATGTAGGCTAATCTCATTCGTCGCGCTTTAAAGCGCCGAATGACGTTGTTCGCAACTGACGTTTTCACATGCAACCCCCTTAGGTTGAATGCCGCACGTATGAAAGCAAAACAAAATGCAAAAAAACGCGTTGTGGAAATATTAGAGCGTAAAAATTGAAGACGGAAAAGCTCGGCGCGCCAGCGTGGAATAAAAAAGTTTCGGGGATGAATTAAAAAGTTGTAAAATTCAACTCTCGCGGGAGATGCTTAAAAATGTCATTTTTATTTGCTAAAAAATAAAAATAAATATTATATTTTATATTTTACTGCAATTTTTTAGTAATTTTAGTAAAAAATACACTAAAATTTAAAAAATTACTTTTTGTTGATTTTTTGTTGTTTATCTCTTGAGGGAATGTTACTCCAAGTGTGCTTTTCGGATTTTCGGCTTCGGACAGCAGATTGAGTGATAATGGAATTAGCACTGCTTTCGCACACATTGTGCAACGTCTCTAGTTGTATATAGCGCGCGGGCACATAAAACGTACAGAAACGAATAAAGCGAGTCTTTAGCAATGGACGCAAGGGGATGCCGCCGGGGGTGGTTACAGTGACTACCCGCAGACGTGGGTAAGCGCACGGCCAAACGAGCAGAGACAATGGCGGCGGACGTTTATGTCGGCAAACAGTAATGCAATACGAGCAAACACAACGAGTATATATTTCGACGTCAATAAAACGGACTTTCGAGGCGATTCCCTAAGCTGACCACGAGACGCCCAGACGAATATGGTGTGAGGGGCGGCAGAAAAACTAAGAAGAGATCAGAGATTTCTCAAACAAATAAATCCAACGTAGAAATTTTATTTTTTTCGAATATTTTATGTGCGGATTTGTATAATTCTACCAGTATAATAAAATAAAAAATTTGCGCGCCGAGGAAAATGCAGAAATAATTTGCGCAAAGTATCGCACGTAGTAATACAATAAAGCCCGTCGGGGTTCATGTTCATGCTTACACACATGCATATATTCTCACACATGGTGTGGTTTTATCACTACGACAAATCGACGTGCGAAAAAGCGAAAACAAATCGATACCCCGCCGACCGCCAAGCATCAAGCGTATCGTGTGCATAGGAGGAAAAATGCACACGATGTAACAATGCATGCGACTTAAAGAAAGCCGCAGTCGAGGTGCGATTTGTGGTAATGGTGGTAATGCGCATTCAGCGTCATTAATCTTTTTAGTTATGCGCGCCGAGCGCAATCGGTTTATAATTCGACTAATAGAGCAATGGGGAATTAATAAGCAAAAAACGCGACGCATTAAAGGGGCGGAAATGGCCTTGAGGTGGCGAGATTGTCGTAGGCGGCAATTAGTGAATAATAAAATTTTATTTCATGTTAAAACTTAAATATGTATAACAAGTAGAAAAGTGTTCATGCTAATAAAATTCTTATTATGACTTTATTACACAGTCATTTAGTAAGATATTTTGTATTAATATCTGGTTTTTTGTTGTTAAATTGCAGAAATTGATGTGATCAAGATGAAGTTTTGGGACATGGGATCATCTACGTAAAATTTCTTTAAATTGGTAAGTGAATTTTATTAAATTTGGATTTATTAAGTTATATTTGACCTTGAAAAATTAATTCTTCAAGTTTTTATTTGAAATGCGAGAAAAAAAGTTAGAAAAGCAGTTTTAACGTTACTCGATTAAACGAAAAACTATATAACGCTGAAATTTGTACAATTTGGTTGGTTTATATTAATTTCCTCGTTATAACGTTACAGTTTCTCTGTGTAACGACGAAAAATATTTTCATTTCTAGCAATTATGAGCTAGAATATTTTTTTAAAGACATGACATCGATGGTAACATTTGCAATATTGTTGTAATTATGATCCCAACATCCCTACAAATTGCAATGCAAATTTCTATAACTTAAGCACGATTTTTCAGCTAATTTGTTGAGGTGCACGTTGCGTTGCTAGAAAATCATTTAAACATAACACAAGTGAATACAACTGAGCGACGCGGAATTCATATTTAGACTTCAGGAAATATTTACCGGCATTTTTACAAGAGTAATTGAGTTTATAACCAGCTTACAAATAATTAAACAGAAGCCAGACCACGTAAAATCTCAATATTTTGCTATTTTTTTATTCCTTGAGATAACGTTGCCTCTCTATAACATGAAAACACTATATTTACTATTCTATTTACTCCTTTCAATAATTAATTATCCAATGATTTGTAAAGTTATTAATGAAACGATATTCGACATTCGATTGTCTCAACCCCGTCGATTGTCGAATTGTAGGTATCCACACGGGCACCAGCATGACGATAACCCAATCAATCCCACCCACCGAGATAATATCATAATCATAAATCTAATCCCGGCTGGGCCGCCGCCGGTGCGCTCCATCATCAATCGATACGCGAGGGCGCAACGCATAAATCATTAAAATATTGATGTCCTAATATACATCCGCCCTCTGCGTCTGCAGACTGATTCCACGGTATATATATGGCTGTGTGTGGTATGTGTTTGCGACCACTTTGTATTGTGCGCATTGTGCGCTCGATTCGCATCGCATTGTACGAGTTTATTGCATGTAATATATTGCATTAGGCGTCGCTCACTGTTTCGGTCATTTATTATGCAAAGCGCATTGCCGAAAAAAGGCGCCGTCGGAGGCGAGAGCCGCCCGCATTGGAAGTGGGTTAACGCGAGATGTTTTGCGTTTTGAACATGACTCAATAATATTCGGAATGTGTTCGGCATAATAACAAGTACACACTTTACGTCTTTACAAAATTCAAGTTTACATGATACATTCGGGTGTAATGCATTATGGATATAATATAGGCAACCAACTGTACAATACAATACCGGGAATACTAAAATATAGGTTATGTATGTCAAATTTAATATTTTAAAGATTTTTCTTTGTGTTTCTTGAGTAAATCCAATTGTTATTAGAAGGCTCAATTGGAAATATATATACAGGCCAGGATGGCACTTCAAAAACATAGAATCGATACGTTGGCGGGTGCACCACACATTGCCCGAGCCTTTTTACGCCGCTTCCTTCTTGTTTTCCTTCAATTTCCTGTTTTGCCGGCGCGATGCCATTACCGCACATTGCCGCTAAACCTATCGATGCCTCCTCGTATTTTTCTTTCTTTTCCCCGAAAAGAATAAAAATAAAGACTCCTCCACACACAAAAAATAAAAACTAGATAATATAGGCAACCAAATATACACAAACTACATGACTTGTTTCTTTCACCAGCTAAACCTACATAATTAATTAATTATTTACACTCGCCGGCTGCGGGAGGTTGTAATCAGCGCCGGTAATCGACGTTGTAGCTGCTGCCCCCGCTTGTAAATATTATATCGCCGGATTGCTGGATATAATAATAATCTTTCGACCGGGCATGCTCGCGCGCCCCCTGCTTTCAGCATTTCAGCGTTGTGTGGATTTTCGGGCGTATAGAAGCATTCGTGTGACACGCCGACCCTTATAATGTATAATAAATGATGCATGCACAGAATGGACGCGGCGGCGTGCAATCAGAATTGTGAACACGCTGTGCGTGCGACGACAATGACAATGATGGCGATGGCAATTCGGTCAGCGCCTAATTCGTATTGTGTTTCGTCCAGGACGAGCAGCTTGCTTGACACCGCATGTCATCCCTTGTTGCTTCCGTTTCGGCAAACGCGAGCTACATTCGATTAGCAGCCGGGAAATATAATGCGTGCTGAGCGAGGAAAAAATTATGATAGACATTGTGTTTGGTTATGCGGTTAGAATTACTATAGGCAACCAGTCGAACTAAATATTGTATCACGGGTTGCATAAAGCGAATTTTGTTTGGATGAGAACTAAAAGCTTTTCATATGCGTTGTATTTTCTGTATTTATATGCATTAATCCCGTCGTGGTTGCAAGTTTCAACGATCCGCCGAGTGGAAATCCCTCTTTTGTACGGCCTGTGTCACAGCGGCAAAGCAATTTCGTCTCTAACTTAATAATAACAAAATGCATTGCAAAGCGCCCGCCGCCGTTCGCGACTCTGTTTTGAAAACGATGAAATAACAGCTTAACCGAATGTTTTCCGTCTGTAATGTTTGCACTGATGTTCACATGATTATTCCGCGCAGATTTCTGCAAATCTGCAAATAATGATGTTGTTTCAACGTTCGAAGTTGACTCGAATAAACAAACAAATCTAAATAACTCGCAGTCGCAGACACACATAACACATGTGTATAATGGGTCGCCTATCTACAACCACAAAAAACAGCATCGTAATAAAATGTCTCTATTATACTCGTAGTATAGTGGCGTGGCGATAGCAGCAACCACGATTCTTCGAACTTTATACGAGTGTATAAAAAGAGAATGGAGAAGATATAAAGATATAAAATACGTGACGCACTCACCGCGTGTTTCCGAGGTGCGATTCGGTGTATGATTCCGTTGGAATGTCAAGGGTTGCGGTCGTCGCGCATCGACGAAGTGGGGCACTTAGTCGCGTCGAGCCAGAGCTTCCAAAGGGGGACATCCACGACCTGCTCGCAAATCCGCACGTACTCTATTTGCGCGTCACGCACGTTCTGCACGCCGACAAAATCAGAAACCAAGAAACCAGAAACCAGGCGTACCACCCCAACAGTAAAAAACACTAACGCTCTCTATAACACTTTTAGCAAGTCATATAGGATATAGTAGGAATCTGTACAATTTGACAGACATAACCTAAATATTCTTCAGCGCCAGAAAGTTAAACAAGTGAAAATGAGCAAGTTTAGTGTCCAAGTGTGCATTAACACTGCCGAAACCTTCGTGGACAACACTTGAGCAAACAATCTGGTCAGCGTTACGACTTGTTTTACGATCAACGAGTTTACTACATGCGCCGCAATGCAAGGTATGTTATTCACTCACATCGTGTAAAAAGCGTATATTAAAACCGTTTAAAAACGTATACCTGCGACACGCAATGCGAACGATGCGGAGTAATGTAAAAATTTAATATAAAATGCTCACCACGCTATGATGGGATTGTAGAGGAGCGGAAAATCGACGACGAAATTAAAATGTAAATTGCCGGCGTCCTCAAAACCATCTCGTTTCCCCTACAGGGTTGGAGAAATTTCGCAAGAAAGCGACCCAATGAGATGAAATAGAAAAAGCGACCAATATTGCGCATTACGTTCGCGGCGCCCCGACTGTTCACTGAGTCTGGTTGAAGACTTTCCACACTTTTGCGCCGCTTCCATTACTTACATTACTTACATTACATCACTGCTCTAGATTTCGCCAAATTTGCCTGCATTTCCGCGCATGCTGGCATTCTTCTCACACTATTCGCAAAGGCGCTTCCATCTTTCGTTCGTTTCGTACGTACCAAGTTTTCTTCGCTCGTGGTTGGCTGAATAAGTGGAATCACACACAGAACCAACCAGTGGAAGATTTAATTTTGCAAAATTGGTACGTTTAATGTGAGCTGCAAATTTCACAGTCGCGAAAAATGCAAAAGTATTCATTTTTGGATGTTTGGTTGCCTATATTAAGGAAAAAACTAAATTTTTAGGTTAAATATTAAAGAAAATGCATAATATTGCATATAAAGTCTTACAAAAAGTACAAAAACTATTAATTCCAGCATATTTAGTTGCCTACATCAAAAAATGAACAATTTGGGGTTAAATATTAAAGAAAACGAGTATTACTGTGTAAAACACTTCACAAAAAGCACAAAAACTATTAATTCGTGTATATTTGATTGCCTACATCAGAAAAATAAACATTTTGAGGTTAAATATTAAAGAAAACGCGTATTATTGAGTAAAACGCCGCACAACAATCACAAAAACTATTAATTTGAGCATATTTGGTTGCCTAAATCAAAAAAGCTGAATTTTTTGGTTATGTATGAAAGAAAACGCATAGTATTTTATATTTGCTGGTGAATCTCGTCTATATTCTCGAAATGCATGCATAAACGGTGTATTTGTATAACAAAAGAATTGCATTACGATATAATACATGTGCCTGCGAGCGGCGCAGTTTCATTCCGCCCGGAAAATTCGAAAAATTCTATTTGCTGTGCGATAACTTAAATTTTTTCCACGCGAAAGTTTGCATTCCGCATTATTGCCGCTCTGGCAGCCGGAAAAAAACTTGCAATGACAAGGAGTCTAACAATAGGAGTACACTCATAATGCTAATACAGAAAATGCTAATAAAATGCAGTAAAATCCGTCGACAGAAGAGTCCATTGTGTTCGCCGCTTGATATCACCCAGTAATATCGGTAATATCATCATGTGTAACAAGTTTTACGATCAGGCAGCCCAAAAATGTTTAGTGATTCACAACGTACTGTTGTTGCGGATGTTGATAGTAAACCGGTTGAATTGACGTACGTCTTACAACAGCATTGAATCCATTGTGTGGGTCTGATGTGTAGTCTACAGTGCGGCGACTGCCATCTGGTTCCTGGAGGCTGTACTGACCACGGACGACGTCGCCAGCGCGAGATTCATGCTGATTTTTGAATCGCCTGT